TGAATTCTTTTTTTTATTATTTTTATTATTCATGATGTCAAGTAAGAAAAAAAATGTATTCTTATATCAGTGAAGTTAGAATATGATGGGAAGAAGTGAATTCTTTATTAAAAATGCTTCGGACAGATTAAGAATTGTGAGTTTTTTAACACGGTCTTGTCATACTTTGGACTCTTTTTATCCTTTTAAAAATCATTCTTAATTGGAGGTCTACATAGTGCTCTCAACTTGTTTTACTTGGTTTTAATACATATGTGTTACTGGAACACTGTTTTCTTAGTTCTGTAACTTCCAAACCTGATGAAGTTTCAGTAATGAGGATAAATAATACACCCATAGCAATGAATATGGGAGAAAATTTACTGGGCTGTACAACTTTTGCAGAGGTTTAATTAATAATTTTGAGATACTGTAGTAAAAAATTGGAATTTACCAATTCAGTAATGTAACTTTAACTTAAACTGTTACATTATGTACTGAACATGATACAAATGCTTATTTTTCTAATGAAAGCCCTTTCTTGTCTTGTTTTTTAAAATGTTTATTAGCATATTAATATCTGAAATTTTATTTCCTTTGTTTTTGTGAATTGGTGTGAAAATTGTCTAATAATGAACAGAGAACTGTATCTGTGCTTCTGATACTTTCAAGCCACATGTTGAAAGGACTTTGTTAACTGAAGATACTGCAAATATTAACAATGAGCCAGAATTGATTTTTTTTTAGTGTATTCTGTTCTTCTGGATTTGTTTTCTAGTCACTTTCGACTCTCAGAATAGAGGAGAGGCGTGAATATTAAAAACTGCTGAAGAAAAAAATAAGTCAAAAATTACCGCAGACATACAGTATGTAAAATAAAGATGCCCTTGCTACTTAAAACATAGCAAAGAGATTTGTTTTTCTTAGGATAAAAGGTTTAAAAATACCTTCAGTTGCTGGTGCCCCTTGCGTCCTAACATTTTCATGGCAGTGTGAAAGTGTAGCTAGGCTGGGGTGAAGTTTGTGATATTATGATGGGATTTGGAATTACTTGTCATTCTCCACCCCTCTGCTGCCTCCTCCTGCCATGGTGGAAAGTAGGCTTTCTGCCCTCGGTAGAAGGGAGGCCAAGGTGGGTAGGGAAGTAGCGCAGCAAGAAATACAAAAATCTGTCTTGTAGAACTGCTTAAGATAATATGAAAAACATGGCTGTGTTACCTGATCTGTAACATAGTTGTTACTTCTTAAATTTTTTACTGTTTTTCATATACATTGTCTGCATGCTTTTTTAAAGACCCTATTCTTTTCCCCAGATATATGACCCACAGCAGACAGGCTGTAATTACTCTGGGACTGTTGCAGCAATAGCTTAATGCTCTGTAAATAGGGCTTGTGCTGCTTTATGAAGTTGGCCGACTTGATCCCTAAATTTGTGTCTTAGATATACAATATTACAAAACAGAGACTATGGAGAAAATGTGACCTTTCTGAAAAATGCCTTAGAAATATGTTTTGGGGTTATTTTACTCTTCACATTCAAAACATTTCTGAAAATTAAAACCACAAAAAGTATGTTTTAGAAGGTGAAAGCCTTGAGAGTAGTGTAGCATCGGTTCTTGTATATGAGATAAGGATGTGTTTACTTGTGATAGTCATTTCACTTGATTTATAATAAGCTTTTAGGTAATCAAGACAAATTACATTATGCACATGAAAGACAATACAGTTTTCCAGTGTGTTCTTCCATATTCATAGGCAGAATAATGAAAACTAAATACCAGGTTTTAAGTCTGGTAGGTCCAAAGTTCATCCCGACCCTTATGCTTGTTGGCATAACCTACGAGTCTGGTAATTGCCCATGGGGGCTGGGGTGAGGCTCTAAAGTGGCAGTTTCCCTACTGTCCTCTGGTACAGGCTGAGACCACATCTGCAAACTCGCATCTTGGCTTATTAGATCTGATCATATATAGAGATGTCTATAGGTATTTCAATAGGACTGCCTTTCTTTAGGTGTAGCTTGGTTTCTTTAATAGAGGATTTTTTTAAAAAAGCTTTTTATCAGGGGAATAAATTAAACAGCACCAATTTTCGTCACTGGTAAATGTTTCTTTTATCCTTCTTTTCTAAAAGCAGTATGCTATTTCACAACATCCTAGAATAAAAGAACGGAAGCTGTCCCTGTATGCTGGTTTGTTGACCCGATTAAGGGGTAGTCTCGGTAGCCTCTTGGTACTGAGCTGTGTCCCAGTGCTCAGGCTGTGCACACCTTCTGGGTACCCCCTCTCACTTCACAAGGAACCTGGTGCTGCTAGGCTTGTGTTCAAATCGGGTCCCCAGGATTTGCTTCCATGCACGTTTTACGTTTTTTACTGCTGTTACCACTAACCCAAGGGCCTGCAAGGCCTCAGCGCGGGCGGGCGGGCGCTGCCCCTCCCCGCCT